ATTGTCATAGCAAAGTCGGAATTGACCCTTTTTTTTTTTTTAGAAATAACCTTTGTGCACAGCCAGCCTTGTACTCTTCTAGGTTCAAAAAATGTGTTGCACAAATTCGAACATCTGGGTTGTGCTGTTCTGTTGTAAATAAATCTTAACCAATGATTTCTGATTGCATCTACTTCCGGAAGGCCAAATAAAGTGCTTTTGCTTTCACACTGAAACACAGCATCTCCCTGACATGGCTGCATCAACATGACTGCTGTTCCTGAAACCCCGCCTTCTTTCTTTGTGTGCACATTTGGGCGGCATTATGCTAATATTTCCACAGTGACCTAGATATGTGGGGGCATGTTAGAACGAGCTGTTTTAGGTAGGTGTGGCTGACTCTAACTTTTATAAAGAATATCTCTTTGGATTTGAGACTATGCACCAAGAGCTTGTAACACTCCAAAGAGAAAGGAAAACTTGAAATCGCATCATATGACCTCTTTAAGTTTAGAAACATTTTGAGTTTCCCCATCCCTGGCCTCACAGTGCTTTGGTTCAAATGCCTGCTTTCCTCTTTTAAAAATCACCTACACACACACACACACAAGTCCTGTGCGAAAGAACAAAGTCAGTAGTTGTGGAATTCTAGTAAGGCTTTCAAGGCTATTTTATTCACTTAAACATCGGATGAAGTGATTATTTTCTCTTTAATACAGATGATGCCAATTATTTCCGACGAGTCTCCTATGCTAGCAATAATGACTACGATTTGATTGACGGTGCGTGATGTCACTGCTACGGACAAACACGGACGGAATGTCTTTGAGCACACCTGTGGATACTTTAAAAAAAAGGGGGGGGGGGGGAAAGGGGAGAATGTTCTTTTGTCTGATAATGAACTGTGAAAAAGACTGATATGCTGTTTTTTTTTTTTATAAAGCCTGCTGAGTTTACAAAAGAAGGGGATCTGTCGCATTCGCGGTTGGCTAGCACCACCGGTACGAAGAAAACCGGGGTCCCATTTATTGGCCCGGAGGTAGATAGGGAAGTGTTACGGGGCTGACGAGACGTGAGGATTCATGTGCAAAGCTTTATTCTGGAGACATGGTCAGAAACAGGCATAAATCAAACAGGTATGTAAGAGACAAGGCATGGGCAGTCCGGTAAACCGTGAGGGTCAATCGACGACAAACATAATCCAATAGGGCAAGACTAGAGAGATAATCCATGTACAAAGCAGAGGTCCAGGCAGGGGCAAACAGTATCCGAACAGGGCAAGACGAGAGAGGTAATCCAAAGTGCACAGGCAAAGATCAGAACACGAGGAAACCGACAAGGCAAGACTTTGAAACTTCAAGTAGGCTCCGTAACGTAGCTATCACAAACTAGCGATATGCGGATACAAGACTCAGCAGTGAATGGTTGTTTGAGTGAGTGTTATATAGTGAATGTGTGATTGGTTACAGCTGTGTGCAATCAGTGCAATGGATGATGGGATATGTAGTCCGGGATGACATGCAACAGTTTGTGTAGTGCAAGAGTCAATGTAATGGAAGGGTGACCTCTGGTGGTGATTGAATGGAAGTCCATGGACAGGATTCGTGACATAGCCCCCCCCAAGGAGCAGCTTCCAGACATTCCGAACACTTTACGATTCAGGAGGGCGGTGGAGCAGAACAGGGGGAGGGACGGAGGGCCAGGTCCACATGGTAGTGGAGAGACCAGGGACTGAGGCAGGATTGGCGGAGCAGAGAGCCAGGGTGAAGCCGGCAGAGCAGGAAACCAGGACAGATCCGGCAGTATGGGTGGAAGTGAGGACCACCACGACAGAGCAGGCGGAACAGAAGACCACCACGGCGGAGCAGCAGACCACCACGGCAGAGCAGAAGACCACCAGAGCCAGACAGCAGACCACCACGGTGGAGCAGGCAGAGCAGAAGACCACCAGAGCCAGACAGTAGACCACCACGGTGGAGCAGACGGAACAGAGACCCCTGGTAGAGATTGGGACCAAGGGAAAACTGAGACAAGAAACAGACAGAGCATATATGGTCTCAAGGACTGAGGCAGGGAACAAGAAATTCATCAATATTTTCCCTGATGAGAACTGAACGGGCAGACAGTTCATAAACGGCCTCCATAGCCGTAACAGGACAGGCAGAGAGTTCATAGATGCCCTCCATAGCCATGACAGGATAGGACAAGGATTCACAGACGGCCTCCATAGCCGTGACAGGACAGGCAGAGAGTTCATAGGCGGTCTCCTTGGCCAGAACAGGACAGGCAGAGAGTTCACAGACGGCCTTCATAGCCGTGACAGGACAGGACGAGAGTTCATAGGTGGCCTCCTTGGCCAGAACAGGACAGGGCGAGGATTCGCAGACGACCTCCATAGCCGTGACAGGACAGGCAGAGGGTTTACAGACGGCCTCCATAGCCGTGACAGGACAGGCAGAGAGTTCATAGGCGGTCTCCTTGGCCAGAACAGGACAGGCAGAGAGTTCACAGACGGCCTTCATAGCCGTGACAGGACAGGACGAGAGTTCATAGGTGGCCTCCTTGGCCAGAACAGGACAGGGCGAGGATTCGCAGACGACCTCCATAGCCGTGACAGGACAGACAGAGGGTTTACAGACTCATTGAGGGTATCCATGACCGGTTCAGAGCAGGACAAAAGTTCATAAGCGGCCTCCGTAGCCATTACAGGACAGGCTGAGAGTTCACAGATGGCTTCCATAGTCGTGACAGGACAGGCAGAGAGTTCACAGACGGCCTCCATAGCCGTGACAGGACAGGCAGAGAGTTCACAAAGGCCTCCATAGCCGTGACAGGACGGGCAGAGAGTTTACAGACGGCCTCCTTGGCCGGAACACAACAGGAAGAGAGTTCACAAGTGGATTCTACTGACACCTCTGGAGGTTCTGCAGCGGATGCCGCCACCTCTGGAGGTTCTACAGCAATACCAGCAGGAAACAGGGAGAGTTCATTAACATTCTCCTTAACAGGACAGGTACAGAGCTCAGCAACGGTCCCTTTGACCATGACAGGACAGACTGATAGTGTATTGCTGGGTGCCACCACCATACCAGGAGCCAAAGCAAGCGCCACCACCTCGGAGGGTTCTGCAGCCTCAGCCGCCACCTCTAGAGGACCTGGAACTGGACTCGGGAAGGTCAGCCGTGACTTGACTGGACTCGGGAAGGTCAGCCGTGACCTGACTGGACTCGGGAAGGTCAGCCGTGACCTGACTTGCCTCATGAAGATCAACTGTGACCTGACTTGCCTCATGAAGATCA